ATATATATATATATATATATATATATATATATCATTGTAGGTCTGTTTTTAAAGGTTTTTACAGTAGCATTCATACCAATTTCTATATGGAGAAATTTAATGATTTTTTGGTACTTCCAGAACCATTACTGTATGATTTGAAGCAATAGCTTAGCAGGTGTTTGAATCTAATGGCACAAATGGCATTAAAATAAAATACAAAATAACACTCCGTTACTTACGGCTTCCACATAGTGGAGATGTTTATAACCGTTGTCATTGCTCATAACTTTGTAAAAACTCATGTTATTTGCAGCAAAGTAAGGAGCTGCAGGAAAGTACTGTGAGGGGAAACACAGACCACGAAATGTAAGATTTCAAAGCAACATCTTTTGCACAAATGAAGATAATTTAAAGATTTTATGTGATTACTGCATGTACTCACCCGTCCAACCCATCCAGTTTTGCTCTTTTGCTGAAATTTCTGTAAAAAAAATTGGTTAAATCACACATTTAAATTGATGTAATTGAACTGAGGTCATATTAGGGCAGTGGTTTTTGGACTTAATGAAATGTCTTCATACAGTATGTAAACCTAGTGAGCTGATGATACATGCAAGAAGTTTGTGAGTCATTTCAGCAGTTCTGTATGTAAAGTATATGTATATATGGCTTCTTGAGAATCGGAAGACAGTGTACATATTGTCTATTTTACTCATATGGACTATTTTATTACACTTCTTTTTGTCCTTTTGTAGACAAAACAGTCTTGACAGTCACAGTCGCCTTTGGTTTTCCTATTGCAGGGTTTGTACAAGGTGCTTGAAGTACTTGAATTTGGCTTTTTGAAATTTAAGCACTGGAAAACCCTTGGAAACAGACATGTTTAAGAAGAGGTACTTGAAAAGTGCTTGAATTATTGAAAGACAATATATATGAAACTGGGCTTGACAATACGGACTGCCAATGGCCCGGGGCCACAAGAAAGACTCTTGGGATAGATGAGGGAATTGACACTGTCAGATTGGGCTAGTACTACGTCTACGGCGTCACGAAAGATGATCATATTCGCGTGTTTTTAAGGCGTGACTCTCTTTTGTGACTTCTTGTGTTTGAACGGATACAAAATGATTACAGAGTACCCATCCTGGGTCTTATCCTCATAAACACAGTAGGTTATATAGAAAAAAATCCTTAGCGTTAAACCGTAATAAAATTACAAAATAATTTAAACGTTCAATTTTTTTCGATATTTTTTCCAAGACCTCCCCCAAACCAAGAGAATGCATAATAAGATAATTGAAGAAATACTAAGAAATAATTTTAGAAGGTCCCTGAAAGTTAACTTAAACAGATCTGTTAAATCTGCCACAAACTGTATCACTTAGACAGGGCTTCTGCTGTACACAAAAGAGAGATACTAATACAAACTAAACAAAATAATTACAACTGTAAGAACCTGCAAAACCCTTGAATGCTTGCAAGAGTACTACTGTTCATTTGGGAGAAAATACAGTTTTATTCTTTGCTGTTATATTAGCATCTTTGAAAAATAATTGTATAAGATGAGCTTTTTACATGTGCTCGTATATGCACTGAATATTCTTGGGCTTTGTTAATGTTCTTATGCTTTAGGTTGCAACAGTCATTGCATAACTGTACGTTATTTGTACAGTTTTGTTTTATTAATATACTTAAATATTTAAAAGAGATCTCTGATTGTAGTCCTTGAAAACCAAAAAAAAAAAAAACTTCAATAAAAAGTGTAATTGTTTGGCTTTTATTTTTAACCTAACAGTGAAAACTGAATGCATGCAGTTTTACTGTTTTGTTTTCTAGAAATTTCTGTTTTTCTGTAACAAATCTGAAAGAAAATGCTTTTATAGTAATTATTTAAGAAATATATTAAATTACTTTAAGTTTATTTTTTTATTCAGTGTTTTATTAAAGGGATTATTCACCCCAAAATGATAATTTTGTCCTTTACTCATGTTGTAACCAAACAGTTGCTGCTAGCCATTAACTTCCATAGTATGGGAAAAAAAAAATTACTATGGAAGTTCAGTGGCTAACAACTTGAGGGTGAGTAAATTATAATAGAATAAACATTTTTGGGTGAACTATCCCTTTTATGATAAGTACAGTAAGAACCCTATGTGCCAAAGTTTGCAACAATAGAAAGAAACATCAAACAAGATGATTGTATACTGATTTGTTGATTGGCCAAACCAAAATAACGAAGGAACCATTGCCTAATCTATGTAATTGTTGATTCTCACCGAGGTTTCTTTCCAGTTGGTGCCATCATAGTCATAGATCTGCAGAAGGACGCTGTCCTGTCGGCGTGGAAGCCATTGAACAGCCAGTCGTTCATCTGTGACCCAGGTGACTGTTCTCAGATAGTGATCGCTGGGAATAGAGCAATAAAATAACATTACTCTGAACTCTAATGCTGTGAAAGCTTATGTTTCAGAGACGTAAGGCTTTGTGTGAACATGTGAAGTAGAAACATAAGAGGGACACACCCTATGCCGACGGATTTCGGTACCACCACTTCTGATTGTCTGGACGGATTTTCCAAATCAATCACAAACAGCCTTGCTCTGGGAATAACACAGCCTGCCTTTGTAAGCAGAGCAACCGTTTAGTAGCATAATGATATTTTGAATAAAATTGTAAAATGAGAACAGCAGAGATCAAGCTGCCATCATACAATATTTGAAACAAATTAGTTCAATTAGAAAACCAAAGACACTTGGACCAACAATGTTTCACCTTGAAAAATTATGGATTTTAAACAAAATAAAATAAAAATTTTTGGGTGAACTATCCCTTTTATGATAAGTACAGTAAGAACCCTATGTGCCAAAGTTTGCAACAATAGAAAGAAACATCAAACAAGATGATTGTATACTGATTTGTTGATTGGCCAAACCAAAATAACGAAGGAACCATTGCCTAATCTATGTAATTGTTGATTCTCACCGAGGTTTCTTTCCAGTTGGTGCCATCATAGTCATAGATCTGCAGAAGGACGCTGTCCTGTCGGCGTGGAAGCCATTGAACAGCCAGTCGTTCATCTGTGACCCAGGTGACTGTTCTCAGATAGTGATCGCTGGGAATAGAGCAATAAAATAACATTACTCTGAACTCTAATGCTGTGAAAGCTTATGTTTCAGAGACGTAAGGCTTTGTGTGAACATGTGAAGTAGAAACATAAGAGGGACACACCCTATGCCGACGGATTTCGGTACCACCACTTCTGATTGTCTGGACGGATTTTCCACATCAATCACAAACAGCCTTGCTCTGGGAATAACACAGCCTGCCTTTGTAAGCAGAGCAACCGTTTAGTAGCATAATGATATTTTGAATAAAATTGTAAAATGAGAACAGCAGAGATCAAGCTGCCATCATACAATATTTGAAACAAATGAGTTCAATTAGAAAACCAAAGACACTTGGACCAACAATGTTTCACCTTGCAAAATTATGGATTTTAAACAAAATAACAATATTGAAATATAAAAATATGCTTTTGTATGTTATAAACTCAAAATAAACAAAATTAAATCGTAAAAATCACTGGGATATTTGCTTACTTTTGGGTAGGGGATAAATACTGTGGTGGGATACTGGTCATTTCCATACAACGAGTATTCGATGTTGTGAACTCCAGTGTCATTGATTTGTAGATAAGCCAGATATTTCCCCTGCGGAGACCACCAGATGGCTTCGTTGGATGCAAAAACTTCCTCTGTCCAGCAAGAAAAGCAGCAGATGGCACATTAGCAGGTATGAATGAATGTCTGTGTGTGTGAATGCATTATATGATGTTACCTTCATAAACCCAGTCTGGAACCCCATTGAGAATTTTGTTAACTTTTCCATTATGAGTGACTTGTACGGCCTCGGCAGTGGCATTCTTTTTGAGGTAAATATTATAATCCCAGACGTAAGCCTGCAGATGATGCATGGTAATTAACACAAAATAAGGCCATCAACCTGGGTCTGCATATGAAAAAAAGTCTGTATGGTTAAATCTAGCACATTTACATGCTGGACACAAGTACTCATGTCACTTAAAGGGGTCATATGATGCGATTTCAATTCTTCCTTTCTCTTCTCGCTTTTCAGACCGATGAGCTTTGTAAAAATCTATGCGTTTTAGAAAGGCGGGGCATAGAGGAGAAACAATAATGTACAGTATGTGGAAAATAATGTGTTTTTTGAACCTTAAACCGCACAAACACATTTCATTACACCAAATACACAAAATAATGTTCTTTTTAGCAGCATCATATGACCCCTTTAATGTGCACTGTCCCTTTTAAAATAAAATAAACATAAAAAGGCTAAAAAAAAATCATAAACCATGCATAAGTTGAATAACATTAACAATGAATAAAATTTATTGTTATAAATAAAATTTAAAAATAAAAGTAACAATAAAATGTAAAAATAACTCCGGGTTTTTATTCAGAATTCTTTGCAATGATTTGAGCTAGAACTAGAGCCTTCCAATAATGTAATATAATAATTGGAGGGTGATTGTTACGATCTGTATATGTATTTTTTTTTAGTTGTTACTGTTTGTAACTCACCAGTTTATTTCCTACTGGTGCCCACACTAAGAACTGTGTAACAGGTGGAATCTGAACCTTGGAGAGAAATTCCCTAAATCCAACAGAAAACAAAGACACATTCAAGTGAGCATCACATTATCAATTGTTGGAATTAATATATTCAAACTGTTATACGTATTAGTGTACTAAAGTCTTCAATGAAACAAACAAAACATTTTCTTAGATTACATTTGACCTTAAACTCAATCACACTGAACACTCTCAGAACAAAAGAAGTACAAAAGCTGTCACTGGGGAGCTGGGGCCCTTTCAAAAGGTACTAATATGTACCATTTAGGTACTAATACATACATTTTGAGTATTAATATGGACCTTTAAGGTACTAATATGCACCATTTAGGGGTTAATACAGTACCTTTTGAAAATGTACTGCACCAGTGATGACTTTTGTACCTTTTTTTTCTGAGAGTGAACAATATCTGTGTGAGTTAGTATGAAATACACTGAAACATTTTCAGGAGTTCCCAGTTCTGGAAGTCACAATTTCAGAATGATATAAGTTTTCCGTGCACATGGGAACCCTGTATTTTGATAGACGTATTATAGTGACATCTTTACTCACCGAGACTCCATGTTATACATATGGTAGGAAGCAGTGAAGGAGTGTCGCCATAGCTGTTGATGCATTTCAAATGTGTTACAAACATCAGCTTGAGCCACTTATGCAGTGTTTTGAGTTTTATTGCAGTCAAGTTACCTTTGAGTAATTGCTCTCAAAGACGACAAACCTTTTGTCTGCTGACAATATGTAATCTGTGGCATCCACTTGGGCCTGAAAATCAGTTCATAGTAAATGAGTGGAACTTACATGCATGTTAAACATGAAGAAAATATGTAAGAAATGAGATAATGAAATATCAGAGCTTATTTAATGACACTGGATGCAACAAATGCCTCGTTTGTAATGGGTTTTCATGTTTTTGTGTCATTGCTCCGGCCGAACACGGCATCAACACAGTATGGTGGGGAGTGTAACATTTCCGTCTCAAGCTTGAGGTATTCGGCTAATCACTTTAAAGAACCTTTGACTGAATGGCTCTTTGTGGAACCAAAAATGGTTCTTCTATGGCATCGCTTGAAGAACCTTTTGAAGCACCTTTATTTTTAAGAGCGTATGAAGAATAAAGGTTTTGTGAAGAGTCATTCAAACCCTCATATGAGGCAACCTACAAATGTTGAGTTGCTTAGGTACACTGAGCTTTCCTTCGTTTCAGCATTGTGCAAGTAAATATGGCCTTCGCTGGTTTTGTGGAGGTATTCATTGTCTAGTGGAAAATAAGACAGCAGAGTATATGTGTCAGGGTGATTTAGAGGTCATTACAAAAAAAAACAGGGAGCATGTGAAGTGCCTTAAGGTGTCGTACCTGATATCCAGTGGAGACTGTATGTTTTATACCTGATGGTATCATTGTAGAAATCATTAAAAGAATACGTTCTCTTCAATGCAGACTCATCTCCTGAAAACACAGTAAAGGATACAAGTTTCAGTTCAATCAAAAATTCAGACCAAAATGCACATTTTATAGTTTCTATAGATTTTATTTGATATATCTATTTTTTATTTAATTATAAAATATAGTAGTCAACATTTGAAGTGGATCCAAAAATGTATCAAAGTTGTCCTAAGATAAGAACAGGTATTGTTTTGGTTTTAGGACAACTTTGATGAAAGGTTTTGATCCACTTCAAATGTTGACTAGCCTACTGTATATTTCGACCTTCCCACAAGAACAAGTTTCTTTAGTGTTCACATGGTGGCGCTATTGTGTTTTTTCTAGAATATTTCATCACAATATGTGCTATTAATACGGATACATCGTGACAAGTAAATCTACAACGTGCTAAATTACGAGTTTTACGTTTTGTTTATTTACCTTACTAAAGTTACCTCTTCAGGGTTTCCAGTTTCTTTGCATTCGTACTTAACTTCTGAGATTGCGATGTTTGAAAATGCCTTTTCGACATTTTTCACTATATTATAGATTTACACCTCACTAAAAAAGTTACTTAAGTGTGTTCTGTTTATTAAGTTGCAAGAAAATGTATGTTAAGGAGGACACAAAAACATTATGCGGGAGATAGCGACGAACCTCGGGGTAACAACGCCGCAAAAATGGGAAAACAACATTTTGTCATTTATCTCTACAAGTCTGCTTAATTATTTGAATCTTACAAAAAATGCCATGGTAAACATGGTTAACGCTCTCTTCCCTATTAAACAGTGGACACAGTAATGCCAGGAAATAAGTCTAATACAGTTTTGCTTACTATGTTGTGAGGTACAGACACTATGCATGCTTTTAAATGATTCCTTACAAATGATTTCAAATTTCAGGTGAGAATGATGAAGAAGAAGATGAAGATGCCACTCACTGTTTACGTAAATTGCCGTGGGAATAACGATGAGCGTGATGACGACAAGCGCCCCGACCAGCGCCACGCACACCTTATTACAGCCCTACAGGTGAGGCCAAAAACAGTTTCACAAATCACCTCAGAAAGAGTTATCGTATTAAAACCGATTTTAATTGCTCAAGCTATCACAGAAGTCGCGTTCCGTCACACCCAACTTTTTAAAAATGTTTTTAACCCAAATAACTTTTTAGTCCACACGGTGTGTAGCTACAAAACACAACAATGTTCAGGAAAACAACAAGTAGCTACTGACCATAATTGCGCAGGAACTTCTAAAACGCGCATCCAATCTCTAGGAATCCGCTGACGCTGAATATTTCTGACCTCCAGTTGTCCTTAAACAGATCCGTAGACGCCTTTGTACGCGATAATGCAAGAGTTAGACAGACAGCTGCGCTTTATTCCGTCCGATTGCAATTTTCCAGGTTAAAAATGTACTTTCTCCGATGCATCATTGAGTCTGGAGTGAAGGAAGGGTGGCAAAACTTACTCGGAACCAGCATTCCGCGCAACTTCCCATCGGAGTGCGTTTAGCATGTGCTTCTCTTCGTGAGCGCCTATAACTCTGTCCAGCAGCTGTGACTCTCAGCACAACCGGTCTGCTTTGACTGTAAGAGATCACATTTACAGACTTAACTTTCATTTCAGTGACAATAAACTTGAGTTTATCTCATTAAATGTCCAAAAGGTTTAAGACCACCAGTGAAAATGCTTCAGTGCATTGTTTTATAAAATAAGACAAACATTTTCATGACATGTTTGATAGTTATTTAATAGCAGCGTGATCTTGAGCTGGCATGAACTCCAATAGGCTAGTTTGTGTTGCAAAACATGATGATCAGGTTCTCCAGCATATTTAAGATGGTTCAGAGAGCATCCTGGACATCAGTGCATGGAAGAACATCTAACCTTAAAAGTGTCATGCATAATCTACTGATTTGATTAGTCACAGAGAAATAGTGAAGAGTGTTAAATATGAAATACTTTTTCTTCAGAAAAGTTGCTTTGGAAACCTTCTTGCATCATAACTTGTCTATAAAAAAACGATCAGGCTTTCAGCATGATGTTAGAGTTTTGGACTGTACCGTGCACGTTCAGTTTAGAGCACCAATGCTTTTTTAGGTAAATATATTTATATTGCAGTTTTCAAAATATTCATGCAAGTACAACTGCAGAAGTGTTCTACAAATTCTTACATATGATTATAGATGTAGCTATAACAATGAATACTGGATAATATGAATTTTATGTTTCTTTTACTGTATGTTTGTTTAGTTTTTATTGAGGACATGCACTACTAGTCGAAAGTTTGCACATAAGTTGAAAACCTTTGATTTATTTAAATACAGAAAAAAATATTTGTAAACAAACATTCCCTATGTATTTTTAAAATAGGCATCATAATAATATGAAATGTATAGCATTATATATTTACATATATAATATAGTATATATAATACATATTAAATACAATATTTATACATATTTATAATATTTGTTATAAATTTATAGAATTTAAAATTTCGGACAAAGAAGAAGCTGGAATATAAGCAATAATTCAATTGTGTCACATTTTGATCACTGCATCATTCCCAAACTTCCATTTTTGTTATATCAGAGTTGTTAGCATTTTACTATCATTCCAACATGTAGAAAATGATCACAATAAAGGTGAAGGCATCTTTAAATTTGCATTGATTGCGTATGTGTTTAAAGAATGTATCGACACATGTCAACTAAGGAGGTACACTGGAAAAACTTGTTGAGCCTTCAGGACTTGTCAAGCATAATGAGAGTTTCCTGACAGGTTTTCTCAGGTGATGTTTGCTCACTGGGAGCCCGTGTCCTCCTGAGAACACCTGAACAGGTGTGTGAGAGAGTATGTCAACCGTAATATTACAAAGCTACGAGAATACTTTTTGTGTGCAAAAAAAACAAACAAAAAACTTTATTCAACAATTCGTCTCTTCTGAGTCACCCTAGCGCCATTTTGGAGAATATCCACTGAACGCAAACAGCGTATGTTGTTCTGTGTCAGCCGCACCACACGCATACGTGCCTTGCTGTCTATGGGAGGGTCAGAGAGCTGTCAGAATGCATCAAAAATATCTTAATATGTGTTCTGAAGATGAACGGAGGACTTAAGGGTTTGGAACGTCATGAGGGTGAGTAATTAATGACAGAATTTTCATTTTTGGGTGAACTAACCCTTTAAGAGTGAGTCGAACTGAATTTAGCTAAACCAATGTTATGCTCAGCAGTAATGCAAACAGTGTTTATTTGAAGGGAAGAGCTGAAGTCAGCACGTACCTGTCCACAGTTTTTGCACGCAATGACTCCATTGGTCTCATAGTCCAGGAGTCTCTCCTGTAGTGATGCATTCTCTCGGACTGTAAACAGCTTACTGCAGACATCAACAACATTTATTTTTACTGATTTATTACAGTCTTCACCACCATCATTATGCACGATAAACATCATGTACAAACATAAGTGTACATATTTCTGAATTTTCTGTGAAGGCAAAACAAAAGTATTTGTAACTGGGTTTTTACCTAAATTGCGGAGTGACATTGACATGGTGCATGTTCTCAATCTTCTCAATGTCTTCTCCAGAGCACACAAACACAATGCACTGCCTGCAGCTCAGGCTGATTTTAGATGGCGGTTCCTTCATCATTCCCTTCTGCTGTTTCTTCTTTATCTTCACCTTCTCCTCCATTATGGCCTGCATCTGAAACTCTCTGATCTACACGAAACCAAATATTGTTTCTTTTAAGTGTACACTTGGTATAGTGGAGTGTATTTTTTGAAGTAGATACTCACTTTCTTCTCGTAGTCGGCTCGATTCATCTTGCACACTTTGGCGATGGCCTTGCTCATCATTTTCTCCCGGTATTCGTTAACACTCTCTCTCTCTGCCACCCCAGATCCTGCCTCCGCCACCAGCGTGTAACTACTGTCCTCTGCTCTTCCTCGACCACGGGCCTGCAGAGAGGGGAAAACAGCACTTCTTACATCATTCATGTTGATCACAGATACTTCAGCATGATAACACAACCTCAAACACAAGCATGACATCAGCAGTGTTCAAATCATACAGTAAGTCTCTGATGGCTTTATTTGCCAAGTAAGTAGTGACAAACTGATAAATTAGACACTAGGCTGAATCCCTGAATCCCTGAATTTTAAAATTGTTTAAAAGTTTGGGGTCAGTGGGATTTAAAAAAAAAAGAAATTAATACTTTTATTCAGCATGTATGCATTAAATTGATCAAAAGTGACAGTAAAGACATTTATATTGTTACAAAGAATTTAAAATTCAAATAAATGCTGTTCTTTTTACACTATTTTCATCAAAGAATCCTGGAAAAAAAATGTTTCAGTTTCAAAATCAGTTTCCATAAAAATATGCAGCAGCACAACTGTTTTTTCATTGATAATAATCAGAAATGTTTCTTGAGCAGCAAATCAGCATATTAGAATGATTTCTGAAGGATCATGTGAGACTGGAGTAATGATGCTGAAAATTCAGCTTTGCATCCCAGGAGTAAATTATATTTTAAAATATATAAATATAAAAAAACTGCTATTTTAAAATGAAATACTATTTCACAATATTACTGTTTTTACTGTATTTATAATCAAATAAATGCAGCCTTGGCAAGCATAAGAGACTAACGTCAAAACCTTTTTTTGTGAATTTGGAGTAAATGTTGAATCAAATAATGAATAAGCATCATTAAATTATTAAATTTAAATGCATGATTTGCTATAAATAAATTGTATTATACCTATATATACAAGAGCAATATATCGGCCACACTTTGTATTTGCATTGGCCATTAAAAAAATCCCCTATGAGTAAACCAGTATTAAAGGTATAGTTCACCCAAAAATGAATATTCTGTCATTAATTACTCACCCTCATGTCGTTCCAAACCTGTAAGACCTTCGCTCATCTTCGGAACACAAATTAAGATATTTTTTATGAATTCCGAGAGATCTCTGACTCTGACCATCCCATAGACAGCAAGGATCCTAACACGATCAAGGTCCAGAAACGTAGCAAGGACATCGTTAAAATAATCCATGTGCCCTCAGTGGTTCAACCGTAATTTTACGAAGCTACGAGAATACTTTTTGTGTGCAAAGAAAACAAAAATAATGACTTTATTCAACAATTTGTCTCCTCCACGTCAGCTATAGCGCCATTTTGGAGAGTATCACATAAACAATGTATGCTCTTCTGTGTCAGCAGCACCATACGTGGATACGTTGTTTACGCTTTGATCTGAACGAAAACAACATATCCACGTACATATGTTGCATATGTTGTTTACGTATGTGATACGCTCCAAAATGGCACTATAGGGTGATACATTTCTGAGCCTTGATCGTGGATCCTTGCGGTCTATTAATTAATGACAAAATTTTCATTTTTGGGTGAACTATCCCTTTAAGAAGTATGCATATACTTTGTCATTCATGAGATAACATTTCATGTATTATGTACTACATGGTCCATATATATTTGGACACAGGCACAATTTTTTATCATTTTAGGTGCTGACAACAACATATTCAAGTTACTTGAATTTCAGGGTATTCTCATCAAAATTGGAGGAAAGGTTAAGGAATTACAGCTCTTTAATATGTACCTCCCCCCTTTTTCAAGGGACCATAAATAATTGGACAATTGACTCAAAAGCTGTTTCATGGACAGGCGTGGGCTATTCTTTCATTATTTCTACATCAATTAAGCAGGTAAAAGGTCTGGAGTTGATTCTAAGTGTGTCATTTGCATTTGGAAGCTGTTGCTCTGAACCCATATCATGCAGTCAAAGGAGCTCTCCATACAAGTGAAACAGACTATTGTTAGGCTTCAAAAACAAAATAAATCCATCAGACAGATAGTAGGAACATTCGGAGAGGCCAAATCAACAGTTTGGTACATTCTGAGAAAAAAGAACACACTGGTGAGCACAGCAACAAAAAAGGCCTGGACGTCCACAGAAGACAACAGTGGTGGATGATTGGATGATCCTCTCCATGGTAAAGAAAAACCCTTTCACAGCATCCAGCCAAGAGAAGAACACTCTCCAGGAGGCAGGCATGTCACTGTGAAAGTCTACAATCAAGAGAAGACTTCACGAGAACAAATGCAGAGGGTTCACCACAAGGTGCAAACAAGGCCAGATTAGACTTTGCCAAAAAACATCTAAAAAGCCAGACCACTTCTGGAAGAGCATTCTTTGGAAATTAAGATGTATAAAAAAAGTATGGAGAAGGCTTGGAACAGCTCATGATCCAAAGCATACAACATCATCTGCGGAGCAGTGTTATGGCATGGGCATGCATGGCTTCCAGTGGCACTGGGTTACTGTTGTTTATTGATGATGTAACGGAAGACAGAATAATTCTTAAGTGTATAGGGATATACTCTCTGCCTGGATTGTCAAATGGAGCAAAGTTGATTGGGCGGTGCTTCATAGTGCAAATGGATGATGAACCAAAACATACAGCAAAAGCAACCCAGGAGTTTTTG